CAATTCAATTTTTTTTCGACATCGTTCCTAGCAGAGTCGGATTCTATATACAATTATACTCAAGTGTCATGATTTTTGTTTTTTTTAATAAAAACTTGTGCTCCGGAGTTTTGTGATATGAACAATTCATTTCTAATATCTATTTTTTATTTAAAGAACCGCAAGATGGCGCTTCAAAGCAATTTTACTATATATTTGAGGAAATATGTATGTTTTTATGTGCCAGGTTGCAGCCTAAACGGATGGACAGAATCGAATAAAATTTTGCCAAAGTATTGCTATGACTCCTGGGTAAAAAACTCGCCAAGCGGACGGGGGATGGGTGGCACCACCCATAGTGAAAATTTTTAAACAGCTCTAACTTCGGAATTATTGCCACATGAACTCGAAATTTGAAATGCACAGATACCTATGGTAGGTGCTTATAGAAAGATATATGTATATAAATGAGTTTTTAAAAGGGGGTGTGGCACATCTCATAGGTGTGGAATCTTTTATCAGCTATAACAGCAGTATTAGTGATCTCATTGAATTGCATTTTGAAGATTTGTTATAATTGATCAAAGTGAAATTCAGATAAAATTATAGATGATGTGAAGTTCACTTTTATTTATTTTTAATGCAATTATATATAAAATGTAAACACGGATTGCGTACACAACCTCCATCCATACATATGTACGTGCTCGGCGCAAAATTTTGACGTCAATGCGTCATGATGTGTTCAAAGCCTTAATGTTTATAATGCAAATACATATCGACGTTTAAAGTACAAAACCGCGTATCGTCATTCTGCAAAACCGCTTAACTGACATTTGCTGCCAAAAATTAGATTTGCTCACACAAGCTCTTGGAACAATCTTTATCCATTCGTCCTGAAATATACTACCCAGTAATGCGATTGCTTTCTAAAAAAAGAGAACCACTTTAAAATATGAGTGTTTTTACTCTCTAGAGAATAATTTATGCAAACTCACATACGCGGTTTTGCATTTTGTTGATACGCGGTTTTGTACTTCAAACGACGATATGTCTATTTAAATATTTTAAAAGCTGACAATTTCGGTAAACTTTTTTTTTCGGGGAATTTTGGTTGAAACACCTATAAAGTGGAGCTCTCCATCAGTATTTTTTCAGTCTAATGCTACGCTGTGTAGGCTGCATACATTAGCTTTGTCATTTGGGATCGTAAGATTAAGTAAATTTTATTTTTTAAATCGCAAAAATGTCCTTGCTAGGTTTGCTATCAATATTACTCCTAGCAACTGCTATTAATGGAAAAGGCGGGAAGGAGCATAGTAAGGTAAGTGGAAGTAATTGAGCGATGAAGTTACACTAATTAAATTCTTTCAACACATTGTCACCATTTTCTAAACAAGTCATCCAAGAAAATCAGAACGCAATTTTCTCAATTATTTAGTCTCAAATAATAGTTAAATTAAAAACAAAATTAAATAATTGTCCGGGCGTTGTCTACGGCCCATTGAAATTTGTTCGGTATATCGTATAAAGTTGGAAGATGGCATTTTAAGTAGATACACGGTCCCGAAGATCTAGAAATAGGCTCGAGAATCCCAAAAATCTAGCATTAGTCTCGAAAATACCAAAATATTTCCAAAAATCTTGAAGTAGTCCCGAAGATTCCGACATAGTCCCGAGATTCTCGAAAATCTCGCAGTAGTCTAGAAAAATCCATAAATAGTCTAAAAAATCTCGAAGATCTGAAAACTTTGAAGTATGTTGTGTCGAAAATCATTTATGGATTTGTGATTTGACTAATTCAAAATCACGCAACTCTGGTTTCAGAAATAAAACCTTTTCAACCCCTTCCGATTTACACCCATCTTTTAAGAATTCTTCTATCTTACTAATTTTAATCTAAATTTTCAAACACTTTACAGTCTGAGCAGTCAAAAGGTAGTCGTAATCCATTTGAAGATAATGATCCCTATCTCCTCCATTACTAAATATTTGAACTTCTTTTACCAGCACGTCGGATAAATTATAAGTTTTTCGATTTGAGGAAGTTTGAGAAGATTGATTTAAAAAACTATGTAACCTTTCCTTAAGACTTTATGTTTCGTTAACATAAACGAAGCTGAGTACATTCATTTAAAACTTAAAATTTAAATTTTAAATCTTCTTCAAAAAAAGGCTTAGGCACTCCGCACATTAAACGCCTAGTCATAGTAGTGTAATCGTTCCGGCGTACTAAAGTATGAAACTTTTATACCGAACACATGTATTTCAATGAAGCTCTGTATATTACGATTCATAATCATGTTTTCGCCTAATCATAAAAACTTCATGAATCGAAGCGCCCAACATTGTAAGGCGCTTGCCGTTTTGATATCGGCATTTGTTTACTTTTTTGTGCTCGAAATAAAAATTATTTGTCATTTCAGTAGATAATGATTGAAAATTAATGATTTTGTGCTAAAACTCGTGCCAATTGTATAAAGTCATAAACGTGTATGCAATATTTTATTGCAGAAATGTTCGCGGAAGTGTATTTGTGAGAAAGACCGGCCAGAAAATGTGTAATGTGCGCGCAAGCAGGGCGCCCAAGTGTGCAGAAGTGGCGTCGTCATGCATTCGTTTTGACATGACAAAACGATTACTCTACTATGATTAGGCGCGTAATATGCGGAGTGCCTTAGGCTGCAATTTAAAAGAATAGTCGCAATATTTTTGTTAGTTGTAGTCAAAACGGCACTTTACAAAAATCATACTTCAAATTCATAAACAAGTTCTTAGTATCAATTCGATGTTTTCAAAATTTCGGGACCTCAAAAACACCGTGATCTCGGAATTCCGGGATGGGCATCCCTAGCCACCACATATATCGAAGTTCCGATTGTTCAATTTTCTTGTATATTTTTAATTCATTCGCTCCATCTAAAAAATCGATTTTTATATACGATACATCGATGCAATATTTCGTTGCATCAGATCGAAAAAACGTTGATATATTTTATTGACTTGCCCGTTGGCAAATATATGCCACACACAGTGATGCGAAATTTAGACAGAAAGAGAGGAGTTGAAGAGTTGCTTTTTCCAAATTAAGATGAAATCTGATTTTTCCTAGAAAAAATCGATTTTATCCGAATTTTAGCACCATAAAGCTTGATGTAAAAAATTCGCCCTTTTGGAGCTAAAATCCGATTAAAATGCGAATATCGAAGCTTCGAATATAAAATTTATCTTTAGTAATTATGCAACCAACTGAAATTTTGACCTGAAAAATGTCTCACCTATTCCTTTTATTAGGGTGTCGCTACCCCTGAAAAGGATACGCTGGTAAAGCTTTTGAGTTAAAATAAATAAGATAAACTTTTTAATATACCACGCTTTTATAAATGGACTAAAAGTTAGAAAATAATATTTCCGTACGGTACGGATTTGCAGGGTTGAAAATGGTTGTACGGATTCAACGTACGGATTTTTAGTTTTCCGTCAATATGTACGGATTTTCGGAGTGTCTTTTTCATATTGTAAACATTTTCCTTCTTTACACATATCTCATAGGTTCTTATAGTTCCTGAACCTTCCATTTCTTTTTGTTAAAAAATGCGTTGTCTTCGTACTTCTATTAAAAGCTTGATTATTTTTCACCCGATTTTAAAAATCAAACATGGCCTTTAAAATTATGTATAACAATATAACAAGACTTCGATTGTTGTGAAGTTTTGTTGCGTAAAATTAAAAAAAGGCCCTAATTTTCTTAATTTTTTCACTCTAACCATCGCTTCAAACATTACACTGTTACTCGGTAGGGTCGAAAACCTAACTGAAAAGTTTTGTTGCATGTACACTGCTTGTTAAAAAGTTCTAGTCCGAAAAATAATAAAGTTGTCTGTGAAGCAATCATTAAATAGGACTAGTGGAAATATGTGCTGCTTTATTTGATGTCATTAAAAGTCCGTTTCCTGTGTTCACCTAAGCACAAACGTATTTTTTTGCTCGCCAAACAATTTGTCCGCGTACGGATTTTATACTCTAAACGTCTGGCAAGCCCTGTTTCTCAGTCCCATAAAATTTGTTTTGATAACTTTTGATTTTTAAATTATAAACAATTTATGAGATAGAAAACGAAAACCGTGGAGCACATGCAATACAAAGCATGAGATTTAATTGACAATAGTCAAACTACATAACATAGACCTTAACTTTCTACAGAGAAGGTACAAATTTGAGATCGATTTTAAGCGGTCGTTATTCATATATCCACATACATACATATATTAATCTTCATATCAATTCAGGTCTATTATGTACATGCGCCCCACGCTTTTCATTTTCAATCTCATAAATTGTTTATAATGACTTGGTAAAATTTCAAAATCAGGAGTTATCAAAACAAATTCTATGGGACTGAAAAATATTATTTTCTAATTTTTAGTCCATTTATAAAAGTGTGGTAAATATATAAAAAAGTTTATTTTTATTTTTTTTTCTACTTTTTAGTCTTGTATAAAATTTTGCAATAGATATTAAAATAATTCAACTTGCAGTGAAAAGATAACAGAAGACTATGCAAGCAAAATGTTGTACATACATACATATAGCAGCAATTAATTTCATTTAAAGAAATTGCGTGTCGTCCATTTCCGCTGTAGCGTATGTAGTGCATATTTTTAGGCGCAACATTTAACTTCTTTTAGCGGGGTGACATCTACCTCTAGAGTGTTGATATGATACCAGGCGACGAGGTTGATTGATACCTAGACTAAGTTTGCCATAAATACCTTTGCTTTATTTATAGTATCGTCTGGACACACAACATTGCAGGTTGATAAAAGCGTTGTAAAAATAATGTTTGATGCCATGTTACTCCTTTCTTATAGCGTTTTCTTTTCTATAGAAAATTGTTGCTTTTTCAGTGCCCTCTTCGCATAAATACTAAGTAGAGGGCAATGCAAAGTCACCATTTTTAGAAGAAAAGGAAACACCATTAGTATATGCAGCTCAATCTAAAATTTGATCGCTAACATTTTTATCTTTCATTACTTTTCTTCTCGCAGTTGTCGTACAAAGTCGAGGCTGTGCCCAACTCTTATGGTGAACATGGTGAAGGTCCTCACTGGGATATTGAGAGTCAGAGCCTCTACTACGTAGATATTGAAGCGGGGAAACTATTGCGCTACGACTATCAGGAGAATAAAGTTTACAAATCCAAAATCGAAGGCGAGGATCTTGCTTCCTTTGTCATTCCCATCGAGGGTCAAAATGGCAAGTTTATTGTTGGAGCAGCACGTCGGGCGATAATTGTGGATTGGAATGGTGTCTCTAATACAAGCAAAGTGGATAGCGTACTCTTTGAAGTGGAAGCCGGAGAAAAATATGCTGGTAATCGTTTCAATGATGCTAAAGTCGACCCACGTGGCCGCTTCTTTGGCGGCACGATGCAATATATTGGAAATGATACATATCCTTTGGCGGCATTATACAAGTACGATAAAGGCAATGTTTCTACGGTAAAAAAAAGATGTAGGTATTTCCAATGGCTTGGCTTGGAACGAGAAGTTGAAGAAATTCTATTATATTGACACTGACACCTATGAAGTGAACGCATACGATTACAACTTCGATACTGGCGTGCCAAGTAAGTACCGCTTATTTGCTGTTTGAAAGCAGTTCACTAAAATTTAGCAATGTGACAAAAAAAGCGAAGAATGTAAACGAAACAAAACTTAAGGTTTAAGATCTGATTATAGCAACTTAACTTAACTTAACGTAACTTAGAACTTAGAAAATCAAAATTAAACAGACTTCGACATGATATTAAGCAAAATCGATTTTAGGTGACAGCCTCTTAGTTACGTTAAGTTGCCATAATCAGACCTTTAGTGTTTCAGTAGGTAGGTTTCTGATAAGTAAATATCTGTGTTCGTATGGAAAAGTAGCTTATGTCGAAAGGTTGGCTTTAGTATAATGCGGCAATCCCTTTATTTTTTAAACGGCAAGGAATTTTTTGATGAGACTTAATAAGAATATTGCCTTGCTAGTATCGGAACTATTTCTTCCACGTTTATTTGCCAAAAGTTGTTCAACGTCTTAGCGCCAGTGAGTCATTCGCAATCGTATGCTGCGAATGCCGATTTATACTAAAGCCAGCCTTTCGACATAAGCTACTTTTCCATATGAACACAGATATAATGTTTGAAATCGTTCAAAAACCGCACCCTCCGCGCATGTAACGGTAATTTGAGAAAACTTGGGAAGACGACGTGGTTTTGACCGATTTCAAAAAGTTTTACAGATGGTGCTTAAGATTTGATAAGTCATTTTTATATATCGTAACCTGAAATGCAAAAAGACGTAACAGCATCGTAAATGAAATGGGAAAAGTCATGACTAATATATAAATTATTTGTTTTTCTCAAAATGATGTGGGGAGTTGTAATTCGATGAAATCCATCATGTGAATCAAAAACTGAATTTGGAATTTTTTATTAGTTATGCCTTTTGGTATTTCAACGATAATGTGACGTTCAGGTGACGAATACTCCCATTTTATAGCATTAAAAAAGTAATTTTTTAGATAAACTTAAAAAAGAAAATCCATTTGGATTATTCATTAGCACCACTGCGTAAAAGACTTGAGAATCCAATACGGCTCTCGAATGGCACGCCATACGCGTACATACATATGCTCAAGTGCTTTCTGACAAAAGATCTTTTCACCATGAACGTTAGCAAGGGACCTTTTGTGTAAGACTTTCGTGCCAGAATAAACAAAATCTTTCAAACTATTTTGCTTACTATCTTTCAATGCTCTTACAAATAATTTCAAATGTCTTTGCTAGAAGTGCCCTGCAAGTTTTGTTTCGGGTGTATTCCATGTTTTGTTTATTTAGCACTGTGTTATTATTTTTTTCTTTTTACATCTTTAGGTAATCCTAAAGTTATATTCGATCTACACGGGGCAAAACCTGAAGACGATTTGCTGCCTGATGGTATGACTATTGACAGTGAAGGCAACCTCTACGTCGCCACATACAACGGTCACACTGTTTACAAGGTCAACCCAAGGTGAGTCAATTCAAAGTGTTAAATTGCATTTTTGTTTACTTAAATTACCCGTTTTTCAGTACCGGTGAAGTTCTTTTGGAAATTAAGTTACCTACCAAACAAATCACTTCAGCTGCTTGGGGTGGCCCCAATCTTGACATATTGTACGTGACCACTTCGGCGATAAATGACCAACCCGCACCGGCTGGTACTACCTTCAAAGTCACTGGTTTAGGCGCTAAAGGTTTACCAATGTCAAAGCTTCAACTTTAATTGTGTGCCTCGCGATCAGAGTTTCCAGATTCTTTTCTCAAAAAACTGTAAATTTCCAAAAAAAAAAAACTGTATTTTCGGCCAAAAAACTGTAACTTTCAAAACGAAAAGTGTTTTTGAAAAAAATAAGGGTTTTAAGTTATTAAACATAACTACCAAAACAATATTTATTTAAACTAAAATAACATCAACCGTTTAAATTAAACTTTACAATTAAATCACATTTTGTTTAATGAAACTTAGTTGGATATTTTTCGATTGGGAAAAAATTCTTTCCAAATTTACTGCGGCGGCTGCAATGCAAAGGACAACTATAACCATTTGTTTCAAATGAGAAAACTCTACTCCCACATCGGCCTCTTTTGTCCCAAAAATTTACATACAAAAAAATCCAAAGAGAAATTTAAGTTTATTCCTTTTTTTTGTGCACCGTCCCTCATCATACTGCCGGGAATCAAGCCGTATCCATTTATACCCAAATATCGAAATTTAGATATACAAGTAATTTTTAGCAAAAAAAAACCGACTTCAACTCTCATATAAAAAAAATATATATATATATGTATATATCTCCTGATCCACTGATCGGATCTTAACCAGATTAGTATGGGACCACCTCTGAGATACTACCTTTCCGATACAAAAAGAAATCAGTTGCCGTGGTCCAAATCGTGGTATCGAAATCGGTTGCCGTGGTCCAAAGTTATGCGGCAACATACATAAAAAAAAAAAAATAAAAAAAAAAAAAAAATATATATTCCGACGAAATGATAACCTCCTCCTTTTTTGGAAGTCGGTTAAAAAGGTAAAGATAACTAGGGATAAAAGAGAGAACCGTTTGGAAATAAGACAGGTTTTACTCTCTCCTGTAAAATTTTGGCAACCTCCCATACGAGGCTTTGCGTTCTCGGGATACGCGGTCTGTACTTTAAACGACAATATACAGCATAAAAGCGCAGTTAGTCAACGACGTAGCGTAAGTGTAGGTTGATGTACGTAGCAGCATATCAAATTTACTGTTGATAGACAGAGAGAGAGAAGAAACGGCAACGTCACCGCCATGCGGTGGTGAGCTTTCGTTAACACGCGAATCCCATAAGGTAGACAGCAGGGATAAAAAAGTAGGTACAATTGTACCTTTTTCCGACATTTGATGACTTAAAGTTACTTCCCGCAATTTGATTATTTTTTCTAGACTTGCTGCACCTATCAAAAGGAATCGGATAAATAAGCAGACTTTTCCTGTTGTTTTATAAAAAGCTGGATAAAGAAGTATACTTCGGGTGTTTTTTTGTCTTTTTCGCCAACGTTTTTCAGTAGCCAAAATTAGACAAAAACAACGCTTCTCCGATTCCCATTAGATTATATGTAGTCTATAGATATAGGCTCAGTTAAAAAAAAAACATCCATCTTTTGTATACATGTTTTAAATAACATTTATAAAAAAAAATACAAATGAATGATGTAACTTTTTTAAGTAGAATCTGTCTCATTTAGGTACATTTATTTTATGATATTAGGTACAATCTCAAATTTCCATTTTTCAATCCTGGTAGACAGTGATCAACTTATACCACATTGTGGTAGATCTGCCATTTTTTTTGAGCATGTACCACATCTACCACTCAAGGTCTGAAATCTACCACATATTCGCGTTTTTGAGTAGTTTTATTTTTGCTCGACATAATTGTCTTAATTTTAAGAGCAAAAATTGTCCAACACTAAACACTTATATTGGTAACAAAGAATGATATAATACAAGATTCTGCATCAGTGTTGCCAGAACTTTTCGGGGCGACCGCCTAGATTGGACAAAAAAAACGGCTAAAATGATCAACTAGAATTCATTTTTTTAAATACATAAATTAAGACTAGTAAATCCATAGAATTTTTTTTTTAGCTTAATACAGATTATACGTAGCTAAGCTGTACACCACTTTATTTTTGTTTAACAAAGGAAACTGTCGTTATACGTAGTTAAGCTTTACATCAGAAGTCATGTTTGTATTACTTCAATATAAAAACAGAGATAAATTACAAACTTATGGCGTTTACTTTGCTATTAAACAATTTCGCCTTCTTATAAATATTGAAACATTTTCAGTAGGTTGCTTTTTGACCCGGCTATATTAGCAGAAAGTATGGCACTTTTGCTTATTCGGAGGGCAATATTTTCAGAAATGAACATGTAAAGCTGTGAAAGGGCTGAGGAAAACAGAGCAACATTGGGCGCGTTCATAAGTCATAGCTGTTGGGTAACCGTTGGCTGTTTGTCTTAGAAACGCACAGTTGAGTAGTTACGCTCAGCCCAACAGTTGGCAACTTTCCGCCATTTTTTCCAGCGGAAAATTTTTACGCTACCTGAACTCAACGTGTTGGGCTTAGTCTAAACAGCTGATCGAAAAGACTTACGCCGCTTATATTAAATTTAACGCCGCTTTGTTAGGTGGCAGTTGCAAACAAATTTATTACTGACGTGATAAAGTAACTAAAATATTTTATAATAATACTACGTTTCTAAATATATGTTTTTAAGATGTTTGCTATATAATTTTACACTGTTTAATTCCTTGTAACATTGAACGATTTTTTCAACATGGCGGCGGCTCAGCGTTGAATTCTAAATAGTATCGGCGCATCTATCTCTATTTGTTGCAATTTCATTTGTTTACATTTATCAGCTGTTCATTTGGCAGCATATTCATCAAGCCGTTTCTAAGACGTAGTTGTTGGGTTCAACAGTTGCCAGCAGTTTCGTAGCAGATGAGCTAAACAGCTACGTCTTATGAACGCGACCATTATCTCGAGAAACGAAAACGCCATGATACAAACACAGAAGGTAGTTTAATTTACTGCCGTTCGTTGCTGTTGCCGACCACTTCACTTTTAACAAGTTTATGACATTTAAACAAATTCATGCCACCAGATTCACTAGCAGAAAAATTTTTGCTTCTTGAAAAAAAAAAAAAAAAATTTGAAGTGAAGTTGGATGAAAATATTAAAAGTGTTGCGCGTTTCCAAACTGCCAGAATTCGGTACACCAGAGCAAACGTTCGAAAATAATGTTTTTTGCTTTTCCGAGGATGGGGTACGTAGTACGATCTAATGCAGTCTGATGACAAATTGCTGACGCAAAATATTTTTAAACCTCTAAAAGATGTACCGTTAACCGTGGAACAGGAAGGAGGTCGAGTTAAAATGATGCCCTGCAACTTGATGAGCAAAGATGTGGTGCTGCTAAAAAATATATGTACAAAAATATGAGTACGAAACTATGTATTTGTCACAAGAACTATCCACATAAGGTGAAAACTACTGCAGTTTCATTTTATGAAATTTAAAAAGTATGTTTTCATCATGCATTGTCTTCCCAGAGAGTTTTGCTCCACATCGAAATTCGTGCTCTTTTATTTTCTAAGTGTAGCGAATAAAACTTCACACTTAAATTTAAGACATTCATAACAAAAATTTTATGAAGAAAATCTCCGCTACGTCCTCCCAAATATAAATTGGGAGGCAAAATTGAAGCAAGTTTTGCCTATTTTTCTTTAGTTTATTTGATGTTTATTATTTTTTATGAATATGTAGCTCATTACTTAACAAACAACATATACTACAAACAGATTTCACACTTTGTGTAAAAATTATGAAAATTTGTAACTTTTTAATCAGCTAATATAACGCGTCCCAGTTTATATGTATTTGGGTAACTTGCTTAATATAAAAAACATTGAAATCGGCTTACTATCTGATTGTTTTTCAATTTTATATAACACAGTCCGACATGAAAATTTTCTCAGAGATAAGACTAGCCATTTCTAATAGATTTTGGATCACTAAATTTTAAAAATAAAAATTTGTATATTTGAACTTTAATAAAATAAGGCGAATAGCAAAATCGGCTAAAAAACGGCAAATTTTTTTTTTGCAAACGGCAAATCGGCTGCCGGCTAAATCTAGCCGGAAAACGGCTAAAATGGCAACACTGTTCTGCATTCCCGGCGACGATGAAATTTCTCAAGTAAAAGTAAACAAGGCCGAATGCGAGGATAAAATAAACTGTAAAATAGTAATTTTTCTCAGTAATAAATTTTTCGACAGGAAACGCGGTTTTATTGTGTTAAATTGCAAAATATATGATTTATAAAAAGATTAATAGCGAAAATGTTAAAAAACGGCGATTTTTGTGAAAGTATTAGCAAACCTAAGTGCATCTAAGGATTCTGAGGCATTGCCAGCGTCAGGACTTTGCTCCGAACGGAGTAGATTTACTCCGCGATTTCTTTTTTAAATTAAAAATCTACTCCCTACTCCGCTTGACATAAATTTTTTTTACTTTTTCCCATTCACATTAATAAAAATAATATGGCAACTTTTTAAATTTTTGCTCAATAACTTTTTGCTCAAACGCACCAAGGTTTTGTATATCAAGGTGTAACAGAAGTTGTCTCTTTTACTCCTTAACATTCCTTGCGGAATCATTTTTTTATTTCCCAAATCAGGGGATTGATTAAGGACCACAAAAAAGTTTTCGAAAGGTTTATGTTTAACAACTTGGCAGAGTATATGTTGACGTTAGCTGTTTTACTGCACAGTTGTGCTGCTGCCCAACGAAAATTTTCAGAGATGAATCACATTAAAAATAAATACAGGAACAGTCTTAATAACGAGACAGTTGAAAGTTAAACCAAAGGTCAGAAATTTATATGCCGTCTGATTATTTACATATTAAAAAAAAATAAAATGTATATATATACAAAATTTATTCATGGAAAGTTTGGTTTGAATACTATTTAGAGATCAAGCCAATTAACAAGCACTCCCTTTCAATATTATACTATTTAATAAAAAATGTTAAAACTAAAATTAAATTTTTTAGAGTCTAATTAAAAAGTTTGCCATTTAGGGAAACCTTGCAGAATTTTTTTAATTTTTGTACAAAGTTTGATCCAAACCCAGAGATCTATCACATTTTTTTGAAATCTGCCACG